AAAAAAAAATCCATGTGGACGAGAGCGTGGCAGCACTAAACTGTTACGCTTGTCAGGTGATCGAGGAACCTTTTACGAAAATGCCACCTCAAGGATCATTGGCAGCACTTCCAAGACATCAGGTGAGACTCCGTGCCGTGTATTTGAGTGGTATTGCACATTGCTGAGCTGATATATCCAGGTTGCACGGATACAAGTAAAGTCAGCAAAGCAGATCACCAGGGCTCAATCGGCACAACCTTCACCACTGCAAACGCACCCCAACTCAGCGAAACAGCAGCTACTCAACAACAACTCCGAAGGAAATGTGCGAACTGCAGTTGCTGTAGATAAACAGATTCAGACTCAAGAGCAAGATGATCAGTGGGAATGGCAGCGCGTCTGGAAAGGTGCATTCGGCAAAATGCACCAGCAATTACAAGTGAAGACAGAGGAGACGGAGGCACTCGCAGCCGACAACAAGGTGCATACTTTGTTGATTTTTTCATCGTATTTGCTGTATACATTGACAAACTCTTCCGTTTTTTTCTAGGAGCTGCGTGCCCTTGTAACCGGCTACAAGAAAGCTCTGGAAGAAGCCGAACGCAACCAGCGCGACATCGAGGCCAAGCACCTCGCTGAAATCGAAAACCTTCGTGCGGTGCATTCTCTAGAACTATCAGATCTTCAAGCTCGGTACCGCCAAAAGTTGGAGGAAGTGACGATGCAGAACGATGAGAAGCTGCTCAGCAGACGACGACAGAATAATTGCATCCGTCATGCACATGCACTCAGCAGTAACACCTTGGTACGTCGATGATTTTGATCTGGCAGTAATTCGAGTTGTTGTGTAACCGGAAATTTTGCTTATGCAACAGCCCAGAGACGATCGCGCCGACGCCAACGCAGATTTCCTCCAGTACATTGATACTTTCTACTCGGACACACTAAACCTTACGGCGGCAAACAAAAAATGACAAGATACGTAACAACCTGAATAAGTAATCACATTTTTTAACATTAGTTTGTCATTCGAATAAGTATACACTACCAATATTTTACCACTTTCAATACTCTATTTGACTAAAGGACAAGCATGTCGACCAAGACTCTGCAGGGAGATCCGCGCCGCCCCGGTGATCTGCACCCTTTTGTGCGCGAGCAGGTGGATCCGGATGACGCCCCCGGCGACTGGTACGCCTTCTTTTCGCTCGTGCTGGGCTTCCTGGCCTTCACGATGAAGGTGCGTTATCCCTCCCCTTCTCGGGAGTTCCTTCTTGGTTTACTGAATGGGCGCCTATTCAGTTGACACGAAACGCTAATGGTTTGTGTGTATACTTAGTGGAAGGAGCTGGCGTGGGGTTCGCTGCTGCTTTGCTTTGGCTCGTTAACCAACATGAAGTCTCAAGATATGAACACGACGCAAGTGGCCATGTCCTTCTTCTTCTCCACATCGGCCCTCGTGTCCGCTTACATGGGTACCATGCGTCCAGGCATGCCCATGCCATCGGGCCAAACAGTGGAAGCCCCCGCTTCGTAGAGTCAAGGGAAGACAAGAATCGAGTTTATCTAGCAGAGAAACTTCGCTGCTGTAAAAATGAAGCTGTTGGTACTGTGCTGTTAGACGTGGTTTGATATTGTTGTCACACATTCTGGAAGTAACGACTAAAATGATGGGGGTTATTTAGAATAGAAACGCTGATTGCAACAATTTGTACTGGACAATGACCATCAGCCCCCATGAAGCGTACTCGGAGAGTTTTGGAGAGGAAGCAGCTCGCACGAAAGCGACGCTACGCGGGGGCTACCAGAATGCCAATCATGACGCTGCTGGCGCATTACCGCAAAAGTTGATGAAGCGGCCGCGAGGGCCTCCACCAGCGAAGATACTTGCAGCGTCGACTACACCGAGGACACGAATCTTGCCACCTATTAGGGCAGCAAGTCCCAATACACCTGTTGCGTCTTCTAACATGACGCTGGAAGAAAAACAACAACGACAACTGCATTCGTTCCTGCGCAACTTTCTCGCGATGGGTGAAAGCGGACGCTTCCAGCAGGTGATTGATCTGCGCCAGCATGGGATTGACACAGGAATTACAGTCACTGACGCAACGTTACAAGAAGTTGTGCTCACAGTGCCGAATCTACGTGGACTTAATCTCTCCGGCTGCTCTCATATCACGGATGCCGGGCTTTGGGCTGTAGCCAGACACTGTCAGACACAACTCGACACTATTTATCTAGCTCAGTGCGAGAAGGTGACAGAGCTTGGGTTGCGTCTCCTCGCTCATAATTGCAGGCTTGTACTGGTAGATCTGAGTGACTGCCCACAACTCAATGACGCTGCACTACAGACGCTCGCTGCGGGGTGCTGGATGATCGAGACTTTCATAATGAAACGATGCCGAGGAGTCTCGGACGCTGGTATCGTCAAAATCGCTCAGTGCTGCAAAGATTTACGCCATCTGGATGTCTCCGAGTGCTCTCGACTCGGTGAATACGGCGATAAAGCGCTGCTTGAGATCGGGAAATGCTGTCCGAAGTTACGTGTGCTGGATCTATTTGGCTGTCAGCACGTGCATGATCCAGGTGTCCGTGCTGTCGCGAAAGGCTGCCCATTGTTGACCACGCTCAGACTTACGGGGTGTCGAGATGTCAGTAGTAGCGCTATTCGCGCATTGGCCCAACAGTGCACCCAGCTTGAAGTGTTATCACTTGCTGGATGCATCAAGACGACGAATAGTGATCTCGAACTGCTGGCAACCAACTGTCCGCAACTTACGTGGCTTGACATCAGCGGCAGCCCAAATATCGACGCGCGTGGTGTGCGTGCACTAGCCCAGAACTGTACTTCCCTTACGTATTTGAGCTTAGCCGGATGCCAACGAGTGGGTGACACTGCATTGAGTGAGCTTACCAGTGCAGGAGCTGGAGGACTTGCGAAGTCTCTTGGGGAGTTATCTCTCGCAGATTGTCCTCGAATCACGGAAAATGGAGTTGATGCCTTAACTGCCGTGTGCTCTAACCTTATCACGCTAAACCTCACGAACTGCAAGCAGGTCGGTAGAAGGTTCCTACAGAGACTCATAACAAAGCTCGAGTTCGTGCAATGGGCCACCAGTTTCTTCGGGTTCGAGCCACTACCCAATGCCGCCGAGCTTTGTCGCCAGCGCGATCTCCGCTTACTACAACTACAAAGTGCCATTAAAATCCAAGCAGCGATGCGCGGGTGTCTTGCTCGAGGTGGACTGTGGCAGGCAAAACTCAAGTTCGTGGAACGAAAGATATTACCGAAGATCCAGGCGCGCATACGTGGGTTTTTGGTGCGAAAACGTATTGCAACAGATAAGAAATATCAGCTAGAAGATCGTGCTGCATGGTTAATTGGGCGTGCCTATCGTGACTTGCAACTTCGACGGATGCTAAAACACGCCAAGAGGATTCGTCAAATTAGGGAGCACGAAGATGAAGCTGCTCTTATTTTCCAGAAGAACTTCCGCGGTTATCGTGATCGCAAGCTCGTATCGAAGATGCGACACGATATCTACT